GACAGCCCAGGATGACATCACTGGTGACGGGACTACTTCCAACGTTCTGATCATCGGCGAGCTGCTCAAACAGGCGGACCTCTACATTTCTGAAGTACATACAGCACTTCCATTTCTGAATTGCACTGTGGAGGAAATACATGCTTTTATTTGTAGCACACAGTGGCGTGAAAGGGCAGGGTTCTTTATAATAGTCTTGGGACCAGAGTCTTCATCCTGGTCTGATAAAAATTTGTTGTTGTGACATTTTCCATGGCATGAAGCAGGGAATAATTTTTTTAAATCAAGTTATGTATGTAATTTGTATGCATCACTTTAACATTGGCTCGGTTAATAGTTGACGTATGGAAATAGAATATAGTATGTAGTCATCCTATGGTATCTTCGAGAAATTGGTTCCAGGATACCCTCTGGACACCAAGTCCCTTAGAATGAGGCCTTCGTTGTAAGTAACCATGTGCATACACTTTAAATGATTGCTCAGGTCCATAAAATGCAACATAAATGCCATTTTACCAGCACTTTGCAGTACCTCTTAGCCTAAGAGCTTGCTTTGACAACATAATTGTTCTGCCCTTTCCTCTTGAACTATTTACAAACCAAGGTTGGTTAAGTCCTCTGGTTCAGAACCTGTATCAGCAGCATGAGGAAGGGGGCCAACCAAACTGTAACCTTAAATCCTGTTCTGCAGCCACTTCAAGACTCCAGTAACCCTCAGGGAGATTAACCTGATGTTGGGAAGAGAAAGAAACTTAAGACTCCTTTGTATATATTGTTGTAAGTGAGTTGATTTCAGGTTGCCATAGGAAAGACACACAGTCTGGCTGACCACAGGCTGCATGAATGGTTTTGGGCTTAGACCGCATCCCTGGTTTGCACAGTGAACACCCAAGTGTTCTTCATAGTTCCCTTGGCTTTGACTCTGTGCTAGAGCAATGTCTGTTCTTTTCCTCTGCATTGAAAGGCCTATTTATCCTTTTAAATGTATTCAAAAGGTCAGTACATCTCAGTTGTACTAAAGGAACCAGAATGCCTCCTAAAAATGAACTGAACTGAATCATGAGCTGCAGCTGTTGCGCCACTTTTAGGAGCTGATTTTGTGGTTGGTTCTAGGGTTTGCATCCCAGAATAATAACAGAAGGATTTGAAGCAGCAAAGGAAAAGGCCCTTCAGCTTTTGGAACAAATCAAAGTAAGCAAAGAGATGGA